TGCGTAAGATCGACTAACTTCAAGTGTAGAACTTTTTCTTGATTGGCTATTTTTTCAAAATCCTTTATTCCTTTATTTTGATTGGATAAAATTCAAAATCCTTTATTTTGATTGGATATAATCGAGACGACATTACTTACTGATGTCAAAGCAGCTAACTTCAAGTGTAGAACTTTTTTCTCATTGGCTGATTTTTGGCTGATTTTATAATGAGTGTTCCTCATTGGCTGAATTTTATAATGATGGTGACCTCACACTTTTAAATTTTCGTTTTTTCTCTTTTTTAAAATTAAAATTAAAATAAATTAATTAAAATTTATTTATTAACTAAAAGTTAACCAAAAGTAGTTTAAGATAAAAATAATTTTTATTTATGATTTGGTTTGTAATAAATGAAAAGTTTTTTAATAATAAAATATATTTAATTTTATGATTCATTTTCGACGCTACAAAATTGTTGCGCGCGCATCTTTTTTTCCAAACAATTGTTTGTTCGCTACGTAACCTCACCTCAGTGTGAAACGCATAGTTTTTTTTTGGTTGGTATGAAAAATTACAAAATATTACAAGTGTCAGCAACTGTCAGCCATTTGCAAAGTGTGACAAGTGTATCGTTTCGATAAGAAGTATTGGCTGTTATTTGCTGAGTGATTTTTTTCTGAAAGTGTTGATTGTGAATTTTGTGGTTTTGTTTTTTTGTACATTTGAAAAAAGTTAAAGTACATTGCATACGTTACGTACGTAAGTATTAAAATTAAAATACATGTAAATACAAATTAAATTTTTTGTTAATATTATTTGTATACAGTAAGAAAAGCTATCCGTCAGTCATAGGAAAGTATGGGAATCGCATAAGTCTGTCTCACTCCCACTCATGGGATATGACTGACGTGCTAGGTTTTCGTACTGTATATATTTATTAGGAAGAGTTTGTAAATATAATGTGTGAATTATTTGATTTATTAATTTAAAGGAATAAAGGACATTTGCCTGTTATTTTGATTTCTAAAGGTAGAATATTGATTTTTTAAATTCTGATGTTTGTACATAATTATATTATAGTGGTAATAATTATTATTTAATATTGATTAATATTTGTTTTTTTAAATCTTAATTATTGATTTTTTAACATTTTGTTTTCTAACATTTTGGTAGTTAGTTATTATTTTGGAAAAAACTTTATGAATATTAAAAATGTACTAAAAATAACATGTGATTACGAGATACCAGATACTTGATAAACAGAGATTTAGTCAAGAGGTACTAGATTAACAGATACTCTATTAACAGATACTAGATTAACAGATACAAAACAGATACAAAACAGAAAAATTTACCAAAAATATACTTATATTTAATAATATTAATAATATTAATAGATGAAGATACATTCTTTACATTCTTAATAATCTTTAATAAGAAAGGATAAGATAAAAATTCCAGTTACTGTTAAATGTGACAATAGTAACATTATTTACATGTGTTCTGAATTAATTAATTTTATGAAAAACTATTTTTTAGAAGCGATATCTTTTCAATAAATTGAAAGAAATCATGTCGAACAAAGAAGGAACTGTTAATTTAAGTGTTACAGATTTTAATATTATACTTACTGAAGGAGGAATGTTAAATGATACTCATATTGATGAATTCGAAAAATTATTGAGAAGGGAATCAAATTCTGCTTTTAGCATGCAAAGCACTTTGTATTTTTATACGCTTGAATTTATTAGTCCGATTGAAAAAGGTAAAAAGCATATTCAAATACTTTTTAGTGGACCTATCAAGAAAGGTCATTGGAATTGCACTTATTATGATGGAATGAGACTTTATATTTATGATAGTCTTAATGAAGGATGTTTAAATGAAGATCAAAAGAAATATTTAAGTAGATTATATCCTTTTAAACCTCCAGTAGTTTTCACAACTGTTGATCAACAACCAAACAATAGTCTTGCTTGTGGAATATATGCAATACCATTCGCAACATCGATATTTTTTAATATTATGCCCCACTCTATCAATTACTATTATTATAACATGAGAAATCATTTAATGTTAATGTTCAAAAACAATCGTTTAAGTAAATTTCCGTCAGTAAGGTCGACTAATATTAGAACTACAGTATCGTCCGCAATTGTCAGTCCACCCATTTTTAAAGGAATGACAAAAATTTTTTAACATAAAATTCATGAAAACTAAAATTTTTTGGTTTATATTTTGAAAGACGATAAAATTTTGAAAAGAATAAGACCTTACAAAAGTCATTTGGCCAAAATTTGTAGAAGATATTCCTAAAAATCGTCATTTTCAATGTTTTACAAAAATTTAAATAACTTCTAAAATAATGAACGCTTTTTAATAATCTTAGGCTTATTTTAAAGGTCTTTTTCTACGGAATAAGAATTACTTATAGGCATTAACCTGTCATTTTTAACTTGGAATAAGCATGACGTCAAAATTAGACAAAAAAATTGGAAAAATTTGAAATCAATTTTTTGTACTAAAAACTATTCTAGAACATATATAAAACATGATATGGTGTAGATTTTTCAAGAAAATTTAATAAAAATATATGTTTGAGTTTCAAAAATTATTTTTCTTTTAATAATATTATTTCAAATTTTTTGAATTTTTTTGTCCAACTTTGACGTCATGCTTACTCCAAGTTAAAAATTACAGGTTAATGCCTATAAGTAATTCTTATTCTGTAGAAAATGGTCTTTAAAATAAGCCTAAGATTATTAAAAAGCGTTCATTATTTTAGAAGTTATTCAAATTTTTGTAAAACATTGAAAATGACGATTTTTAAGAATATCTTCTACAAATTTTGGCCAAATGACTTCTGTAAGGTCTTATTCTTCTTAAAATTTTATCGTCTTTTAAAATATAAACCAAAAAAAATTTTACTTTTTATGAATTTTATGTTAAAAAATTTTTGTCATTCCTTTGAAAATGGGTGGACTGACAATTTCGGACGGTACTGTATGACTGTTGAATGTAATTGGGAGTGTCTTCTTAGGAATCGAGCTAGAGAAAAAAGTTTCCAAAATGAAGAAAATAAAATTGTTGACAATAATTTATCATCGTTGAATTCAACCAGCAATGTTTGTAAAAAAAATTTTGTTGATAGTTGTTTAGAAGATTTGCCTTTAATTCCAGCAAATGATGTTAATAATATTTCTATTGATTCAAGCAATAGAATGAAAGATACAAGATTAATAATAACTGAGAAGCAAGGAGAAAAAAGAGCTATGGTTCATTTTCCTGAAGAAGAGGAAAAATATAAAATCATAAAACGTCAAAAAAAAGCTGCTTATCAAAAAAAATATCGACAAAAAAAGCGAGAAAATAATAAAATTGTTCGCTCTGAATCATTGGATTCTAATGAATTCATTAGTGCAGAGCAAACTTTAAATACGAGGCCCCAAAGCACATCTACAGCTTTATCATCAGCAGAAGAAAATATTTCTACTTCTAAAGTTAAAACGTCAATTCGTGACAGAAATGTTGCTTACAAGCGCACCTCTCGACAAAATAAACATACTTCTGTTCAAAAACAAAATCAGTCTGATATTATTTCAAAGTCACATATAGAGATGGGTTATTGTAATGAAATGAACATTACACGTGATCATTCTTATGTAAAACTTTGTGAACATAAAGTTAACAGTGAATTATTTATAAAATCAAAAACTAATGATGATTGTAATGATTCAAGAAATGTTACAAAATATAATAATTTAAAAAATGAAAATCAAGTAAAAAAAAGATCAATAATACGTTCTTTAGAGGAAGAAGAACAACATCAAGTCATGAAACTTCAAAAGAAAGCTGCTTATCAAAGAAAGTTTCGACAAAAAAAACAAGAGAATAATAGAATTCTTAACCCTCAATCACTTCAAACAAAGGACAGTATTATTACAGTGTCGAAATCAAATATAAATTCAGAAAAATCCTCTACAACTGTTACTACATCTTTGGCAAAAGATAATGTAACTGTTACAGCAAATTTAGCAAATACTAATATTTCCGGTCGTCAAAAAAATGTAGCTTATCAAAAAACTCATAGCCAAAAAAAACGGGATTTTGCACAGAATCAAAATTTCTCTGACAGTATTTCAGTCTCGCATATAGAAGAACATTTTGCTGATGCGATGAACATTTCATGTGAGCATTGTAATGCTAAACATTTCCAAGCAGAAAGAGTATCTAATAAAAAAAATTCATTTCATGATTGTTGTAAACATGGCGAAGTCATTCTTGAAGATCTACCTGCTCCTCCACTCATATTACAAAATTTATTTGATGGCACCCACGAATTATCTGAGCATTTTCTTCATAATATACGACCTTACAATAATTCATTTGGTTTTGCTTCTTTCAACGCTAACTTAGTTAATTTTAACAATAGACGACCAGGACCATATTGTTTCAAAATACATCGTCAGGTTTATTATCAAATGAATACATCTTTGTATGCAGAAAGGAACGATACTCCTTCATTTGGACAGTTATTTATTGTTGATCAAAACAAAGCTTCCGAAATTTGTTGTAAGAATAATGTTCAATTAAACCGAGATATTGTTGATGGAATTGAAACAGCCCTTCGGGATTGTAACCTATTTGCACAGTCCTACCGTATGATGCATGAAAAAATTAAAAAAACAATGACTGAAAATAATGCAGAAATTTAGCCTGAGATGCAATTATTATTTTCATTAAAGCCTGGGATGGATAGTAGACGTTATAATTTACAAAGTGTCAATGAAGTTGCAGCAATTTTTACTACAACTGCTGATGGTGATATTCCAGAATCATATGTTACCGTATATAATAAGAATACAAAAAGTTTACAATATATAAGTTCTAAGAATCCCAATGTTGAGCCATGGATATATCCTTTATTTTATCCACATGGAACAAGAGGTTGGGACAAAAATCTGACCTGCGCTAATACAAATAAACGTGTATCAAGAGCTGCATACATCAGGCATAGAATGGCTTCTAGGGACAACAATGTATTTTTAAAGGGTGGTAGATTATTTCAGCAATGGATTGTCGACAGTTATGTGAAAATTGAAAAAGATAGGAGAAATTTCTCTCGAAATAATCAAAAGAAACTTCGTGCAGATACTTACGAAGGTCTAATTGATCATTTACAAAAAAGAGCTAATGATTTGAACAATGAAGTTGGGAAAATTGTAATACTTCTATCATCTTTCACAGGTTCTCCGAGAAATATGTTACAGCATTACCAAGATGCAATGGCTATTGTGAAAAAATTTGGTAAACCTGATCTTTTTATTACGATGACGTGTAATCCAAACTGGCGTGAAATTAAGGAAAATTTATTACCTAACCAAACTGCCTTTGACAGACCAGATATTGTATCGCGTGTTTTTACCATAAAAAAAGATAAACTTATTAATACTATTGTAAAGGAACAATTATTTGGCGAAGTGATTGCTTATGTGTATGTCATTGAATATCAAAAACGTGGATTGCCGCATATGCATTTATTAGTGACTTTGAAACAAAATTATAAAATAACAACACCCGAGATTGTAGACAAATATATTTCGGCAGAAATTCCAAGTCAATCAGAAAATGTTATACTTCATGACATCGTTATGAAAAATATGATTCATGGCTCATGTGGAAATTGGTGTAAAGATAATAATAGTAAATGTTTGAAAGGTTTCCCAAAACAATTCTGTTCTGTGACAATAATGGATGAAAACGGATACCTAACGTATCGCTGCCTTAATACAGGACAATACGATCACCTAAATGGAGGAACTACAGATAATCAATACGTTATTCCATACAATCCTACATTACTTCAGTTATTTAATTGTCATATTAATGTAGAAGTAGTTTCAAGTATTAAATCCGTAAAATATTTGTATAAATATATTTTTAAGGGACATGATGCTGCTGCTGTAGTAATTACCGATAGTAGTAATAATACAAGTTCTTTAGAATATGATGAAATAAAAAACTTTATTGAAACTCGATATGTTAGTCCTGTTGAAGCATGTGATAGAATATTTGGTAGACCATTACAGAGTAAAAGTCATTCTATTCTTCGATTACCTGTTCATTTAATTAATCGGCATACTGTAACCATTAGTGAAGAAGCAAATGATGATGCTATAAATGAAGCTTTACAGAAACGGACTATGTTATTAGAATATTTCGATTTAAATAGGCGTGATCCACAAGCTAGACAATATACATATGCAGAAATTCCATGTTATTATGTTTTTAAGAAAGAAGGTGGTGAAAATGCATTAAAATGGGTGAAGCGTAAAGGGTCATTTAATGTCATTAGACGGATGTATTCAATTTCGCCCAGTCAATCAGAACTGTTTCATCTTAGATTACTTTTAATAGTAGTTAAAGGCGCTACAAGTTATGATGATCTGCGAACTGTCAAAAATATTTTACATGCAATTTTTCGTAGTGCATGTTTAGCATTAGGCCTTATTGAAGATGATGGAGAATGGGAACGTGCTTTGACAGAAGGAGAAGTATGGATGATGCCACAACAATTAAGACGTTTATTTGTGCGTATTTTAATTTATTGCCATCCAGTTCATCCAAACGAACTTTGGGAAAAGTTTAAAGAGGCTATGTCTGAAGATTATCAGAAAAATTATCCATCTAATGAAGCTCATAAAAGAGCATATAATGATATAATTAACTTTCTGTTGCATGAAGGATCAAATATTAGCAATTTTCCTGAAATGATACAGTTAAATGAAATAAGTATTGAAACAGAAAATCAAGCGAACAACGAAATGTCATTGCAACAACATAAAGAGATTGGTGAAATGCAATATGTGAAACTGAATTCCAAACAGAAGGATATTGTTGATGAAGTATTAAATGTAGTTATTCAAGATAAAAGAATACCATCTTCTTCATGTTATTACATTGATGGACCAGGTGGATCCGGAAAAACTTTTGTTTATACAACTTTATACCATTTGTTAAGAAGTAAAGGAAAATGTGTTTGTACTATGGCATTTACAGGCATTGCCGCAATATTACTTCCCCGTGGTAAAACTGTACATAAAACATTTGGGATGCCTGTTCCATTGTTTTATGATTCTACATCAAATATTAAAAGTCAATCTAAGGAAGCTACATTTTTGAAAGAGGTTGATGTCTTTATTTGGGATGAAGCTCCAATGGCGCCAAGATATGCTATGGAATTAATTGATAGAACATTACGCGATTTTATGAATGTTGATATGCCATTTGGTGGAAAAACTGTGCTTTTGGGTGGTGATTTTAGACAATTATTGCCTGTTAAAGTTAATGCTACTAGAAGCAAATTAGTTAATTTATCTATTAAATCTAGCACATTATGGAGTCATTTTAAGGTGATATCATTAACAGAAAATATGAGAACTTTACCTGGTGAAAAAGAATTTCCAGAATATTTATTATCAGTTGGAAATGGTACTTTAAATGATAATGATAATAATATACTAGCACCAGAGCAATGTGTAGAAAATGGTGATATTCATAAAATATTTGGAGAATTAATTATCAATAATAAATACGATGATTTAGCAAAAGTAACAATATTGTCTGCTCGAAATGTTGATGTTGATGAAATTAACAACAAGGTACTCGAACTGTTTGATAATAAAAGTGAGCGAATTTATACAAGTGTTGATAGTACCGAAAATTGTGATAATGGAAGTATAAATGATGCTATTTTACCAGAGTATTTGAATACTTTAAATCCATCAAATTTCCCGCCTTATGAATTACGATTAAGAGCCAATTGTATTGTCATGCTACTTCGAAATCTTAGTATTTATGATGGTTTATGTAATGGAACGCGAATGCAGGTATTAGAACTATCAAACAATCTGCTACGTTGTCGTATTTTAACAGGTGATAAGGTTGGAGATATTGTATTTATAAATCGTATTACGCTGTATTGTGAGGATATTTATCCTTTTACTTTCAAACGACGGCAATTTCCTATAAAATTAGCATTCGCAATAACAATAAATAAAAGCCAAGGACAAACTTTTGACAAGATTGGTGTAGACCTTCGTAAAAATGTATTTAATCATGGGCAAGTATATGTTGCATTTTCACGAGTTAAATCTTGGGAATCATTAATTATATATTTAGGAAATCAAAGACCTAATTTACTAATCAAGAATTATGTTTACACTGAATTATTGAAATAAAAGTAAATATTTTTTCTATAAAAATGTCTGAGTCGTTATATATTTTTTTTCTTCAAAAAGGAGTGTGTCTCAGTATGGCTGTCTTTACGCGTAAGACTTTCTTCGACGCTTCTTATTGGTAAATTAAGTCATTTTTTTGTAATAAGATTCACACGTAAGATTTCTTTACACGTTTCTTTCTTATCAATTGGTCAAAGACGTTTTAATTTCCTAATTTCAAATAATAGTTCAAACTTCAGATAATTAAGACACTTATTTGTACGTATTTTAATGTACTGCCAACCAGTTCATCCAAATGAACTTTGAAAAAAGTTTAAAGATAATATTTCTCAAGATTATTAACGAAATTTTGCATCCCATGAATCTTATAGAAAAGCATATATTGAAATAAATTATTTTCTTCGAAATGACGGAGTACTTACACTTTTTGTATAATATTTACAGAAACCACACTTATATTTCTTTTTTATAGCAAAAGTAGGAACGATTTTAAGAAACAAAAGTAAATTTTTAATTTAATATCCTCTGTTTATGGCTTTCTTTGACAGTAGAGATGTTTTTTTGCTAGCTAAGTGAAAAATAGTTAAAAATTGTTTATTTAGTAACGTTTTTCTTTCATCACTATTTTCTAAAATATAAATTTACTATGGAAGATTTTAAATGTTACAAAATTTAATTAACAAATAGATTACTTTGATTATAAAAAGGTTTTCTATAACTTCATCGTACAAAACTTTTAATAAAATGTGCCATTCTTGAAATATACGCTTTTCTTTGAGCAAAGAAAAGTGGTTTTTTTTATCAAAACCATAAACTTTAGAAATGATACATTTAGAAACAGATAAAAACAGAACTAGAATTGTAAAGGTATAAAAAATTGTTTTACGCACAACATAGGCTATTATTTTATTAAATTGAATAATATTTAAAAATTCCTATTATCAGAAACTGTCACTCAAATTGATACCTTAACAAACAAAAGACTGTAATTTAAAGAATAAAAATGCAAGAGAAAAAACGCGCGCGCGTCAGCGCGCGATCGTTCTCGTAAATATAAATTTCTGATTTTTCAAAATGGCGCTTAAAATCTCAAAAATTTTTAATTAATTGTTTGTACCATTATTTTAGAAATCTGGATTAAAAATTTTCACTTGTGGGTTTTCGGGATCACTGATTACGAATCTGATATTAGGTTCTCAAAATTCAAAATGTCTGAGATTTTAAAAATCTGATGGATTTACTTGAAGTGGATGTTAGATTTAAATTGCACTGAATGTCTCGAAGCATTTTTCAAATACGTTTGCTAAAGCATAAGACAATAAAAAATAGTGTTGCCGCGATACGAGACGAGAATTTTATCATTCTTGTCTTGTCCCGTAATTTTAAGGCGACTTATCGTCTCGTCTCAAGCTTCATGAATCCTATGCATTATCGTCTTGTCTCGCCTCAAGCGTCTTCCATACATAAAAATGTATGGAAATCTCGATTTCTCGTCCTCGTGACTCCTCTCTCGTCTCGTATCGACTTAACGATATTTAAAAAAACACTGTCTCGTCTTGTGCAATGGCTTTCTCGTCTTGTCTCTCGCCATTAACGCGGCAACACTAATAAAAATACGTTTTAAATCAAATTTACATAATTTTCTTTAATATTATGTACTTTTAAGAAAACAATTATAATGACATTCAATAAGTAAAGAGTAAATACAAAATTTAGAATGAAAATTAAAAAGATAGCAGTTAAAAAAAGGTAAGTAGAAGTTTAAATTATTAGAGGACCCTCGCACCGTGTGCAGTTTGGTCAAATGACATTTGGGGAACAATCATGCGACTCGATAATTAAAAAAACAAAAGTCTAACGCAGAATTTATTTCAAATATCCTAATGTAATAGTAAAACTTGCACAGAACAAACATTGAATCTAAAGACCCCGTGTACTTTTTTGTAAGTTTTATTTAATCTTTAATTTTCATCCACCATACTGGATTTGACACTTTGTAATTTGTACTACTGCGCATTCGTAACAATGATATAATACTACTGCGCATGCGTAACATTGACAGAACACTACTGCGCGTGCGTAACATTGTCAGAACACTACTGCGCATGCGTTGCATTGATAGAACACTACTGCGCATGTGTATATGTATGTACAATGTATATACGATGAACAAATGATAAAAGCCGAACGATGAAGTACTTACGGAGTTACATGAATGACGAATATGTTAATATTATAATAATAAGGAGAGGAGAAGATTATGTGCTCTAGCATAATAAAATGGTAAAAAAAGGTTTTTTTGTATTTAGTTTTTGAATAATTTTCTTTTTAAAAATTTCTAAGTACACATTGTATTTGACAAACGATTATAAACAACTTGGTACGTTAACAAACCGTGTGCCTTTAAAATAAATTGACCTTCCTATGATGACATGTATTTATTAATAGTTTCGCTATTTTTAAAAATCCTTAAACGAGATAGAATGAGAGAAAAAAGAAAAAAACTATCTTTAAAAAAGAAAGAAGAGCGTTTGAAAAACTTAGAATATAATGCTTAGAATAATAAAATTTAAATCGGATTTTGTTTATTTCTTGATTAATATTTCACACCTTAGGTCGTTCGTAGCTGTGATATAGCAAACCCAAAGTTTATTTTTTGTCTAACTTGTGACGATGGGCTATAATATAACAAATAGCATCCATTGTACAGTACAGCCATCATCGTCGTATTCTGCGTGAATGCAAGGAGAGAGTAGCGAACGCGCATGGAATTCGCGCTCCCTGCAGTTGCTCCCCCCACCACTCGCTCTCTTCGTACCACGACAGAGTGAAACTCTTATAGCTCGCGACACAATTCAAACTCCTCAGTTCATAGCCTGACATGCTTCAAAGAGCTCCTTGGGAAGGATGAAAAAAATGAGAAAACAACTAAGTTTCATTCAAAACAAAAAGTGCACTTCCACATGGTGCTGTCAATGCATTCTTAGTACGCTCTGCGCTTGCGCAGAGAGCAACAAAGTCTCAGGTCGCGAAAAAATGAAGTGTTTGACTACATCAACCGCACTGACGATAAAGAAGTTTTTACCCTTTCTCTTGTAATTTCAAGGAGGAAAGGGAAAATTTTCCCTTTCCACATGTTGAAGGTCCAATCGCAGACATGAGACTTCTTCATTGTCAGTGCAGTTGATATACTCAAGCAGTTTATTTTTCGCGACGCGTCAAAAATGCTATTTTAATGGTCATTTTAATTAGTTATTTTACTAATTATTATTTTTATTGCTTATAGCCAAAAATGATTTTTTTGGACACTTTTAAACTCTAATTTTCCATTTTTGTAGAGAAAGTGTAAAAATGTTAATTTTTGTAAGAGAAATGTCTGTTACAAAAGTGCGATTTTTATGTTTGGTTTGTTTACATTTCACAACTTGGACATACCCTTAACGAAAAGCAGATTCAGTTCCTCAGAGTGCACGTCTTGGTCGCGTCGGTCACGATAGATTATGGAACGAATTCTAGACTAGTTTCGTGAATTATAAACTCGATGGAATGCGATAGTTTCAGACAAAAGAAAAACATATGTAAACTAGTATCGAATATTTTATTACTCGCGTTTTCAGTTATTTTTATTGTTAATCATTATTTGTTTAGTAAATGTTAATTTCCTTGCGTCTCGAAAATATATTGTTATTAATATTTCTCGATTAGATTTTCGATCATTATTATATTTTCGTCATACTTGAATTATTATTATTATTTTCGACTTTATTATTGTTAATTCTAATTTCTAATTATTTTTTTTGTAGAATATTATTTTATTATAATATACTTTTTTCGAAGGTTTTATTCTCGCCTCGTTATTGACAACACCTTTACTCAGAGTCACAGAAATCAAGTTAAGCTCAATAGATGGCGCTTTACGCCATTAACTATGGAAAATTATTTATTTAATTAATAATTAAGGGAACCCGGACTCCATCCGGCGAGCGAATTCCCAGCAAATAAAAACCCTATCATTACAAACATTTAAAGCAATTTATGAACATTAATTACATCGACATTTTCTGATTTGTTAAAAGATTATGAGTAAAATGATGTAAATAACCGCTGCGCTAGGACGCGTTGAGACACAATTGTTCTTGAAGAAACTTTTATTTAATACGCTTTACATATGATTTGATTTTTTGTAATTTTCCTTATTCCTTTTGCAATAATATTTAATTAACTTTTGTATTGTTTGAAAATATATTTATTTATTTATTTAAAGTTTGGACGGACAAAAAAGTCCTTAACAAAAGAGATCTTATATTCTAAAGAAAATTACAAAAGAAATAAATCATAAGACTGGCCGAAGTAAATGAAATTTAATCAAATGATAAAATCGTGTTTTTAAGATTTCTGTTCTCATTTGAGTTGAAAAAATCAATGAAATCGGAATAATTGTTTGCCTCCACACTAATTCTTGAAAAAACTGAATTAGCGGCATAATTACAGCGGTGATGATAATATGCACCAATACAATGATATTCCTTATTAAAAATAATTTTAACAAATAAATGTTAACAATGTTTTAACAAATAAATTTTAATAAATAAATCAATAAAATATATTTATTGATTTTTTGTACAAGAGTAAAAATTCCTGAAGTGTAACAGCAAATTTTGAGATTCACTGTATTTACTTGGTAATACATGAAAATGGAACATAATTATGAAATAATTAAATGCCTAGAAGGATTTTTCAAAAAAATTAAATTTCACTTATTTATAAACAATTGAAGTTTTTGCAGTGTTTTATTAAAAAATTAATATCTCGAAACAGAATAAACGAATCGTTATAAAATTTGGTATGTATACTCAGAAAAGTACTCAGTAACTGTTATTGCAAATTTAATTGTCTATTTAAAAAAACAATGTTCTTAACGTCGTAGGAAGTTTGTTATAAACAAATTAACTTAACAAATGAATTGTTCATTTGTTTATAGTCGAAATGGGATCGTTTTTTTCTAATCGTTCTAAAATCATGTTACCAGGTGAATTCCACGTCAGTTCAACACACTTATTTCCATGACTTGTTGGAATTTGGCTGTACTTTTGTAAATTTATTACTTTTATAGTGATAAATAACTCCAGCAAATATTTTTTCAAAATTTTAAAAATTACCAAAAATATGGCATTTTCAAAATTTTTATCTTTTTTTTAAAGTGCTATAACTTTGGTTCTAATTAACCGATTTTTAATTTAAAAAAAGGATTTGTTTGGTTTTAAGTATATTTTAATGTTGCACATTTGTTTTTTTTAATAATAATTATTTTTATTTTATGTTTCTTTAACGTTTTCCTCTTCGAATTGCAACAACCAATCAAGGGTTTATCCTTGATTGTTTAAAATGCGAGATTCATTTTTCCCCGTTTAATTTACTAAAAATTTAGAATTTAGAAAAGAGTAACTAAAAATGGTTGCGGGATGGGTTGTTTTTAATTAATAAGCATTTATTTCCCTTATAAGTTTTAAATTTATTTTTCCTTTTCTTTTCAAAAATTAAACGTAAACATTACAATAATTATATTTTCGCTTACCGCTAAACTTATCCTACCACCTCCACTTCGTAGAGATGGGCCTTGTTTAATTGTTTAGTGTTGATCACCTCGATTGTAATTTTCAATAATTCTTCGCTTGATCCCTTGAAATGTCAATTATTTTAAACACAATTGTTACGCCCGTTATTTTACTCGCGTTAATTCTACGTTTGTTTTGATTCTTTTTCACTACTATCGATTAACCGAGTTGTTAAAACTTGCCTTAATTAGTGTAGGAAACTAATTAAGGGACAGTTAAGAACGCGTCTTCTTATTATGAATGACCGATTAATACTATCCTGAATGAGCTGTGATGTCAATTTTTATACCAGAAACTATATTTCTGTTGGAGGGAAAATCTGCAACTACGACATTCCTCAGGGATCGTTGTCCCGTGTTGAAATAATTTATTATTTCTATATTTCGAAGGAGTACCCCTTTGGATCGCTTTTGCTGACTTTGCTTTCTTTTGAATTAAGCAAGTCGATAGTATATTAATCCATGATTGCCAAAGACAAACAAAATTACTTGTAATAATTGTTGCTTCATTATTTGGCAATCATTATTAATCTTTTCATATTTTTGATCCTAGGGTTAACAACCTTGCAGCAATAAGTTATTGAACTTATTCTGATTTTAAGGAGGAATGTCATTACAGAGAATGATGGTTGGTGTAACAATTGACATACGAGCTCATTCCAGAAAATGATTTAGTTGATTTGTTTGCATATTTCTTATAATAAAGATTCTCTTTTTTTCCATAAATTTATTTATTATTAATGGATTATTGAATCGTTACAAACCACCATGGAATATTACAATTATCGTCCCGAGAATTTCCCATATTAAAGAAATACAAAATTTAAAATCGAAATCTCAAGTTCTTCTTTTAAGAAATACACTATTTTTTTTATATAACTATCGGGATGTATTTGTAATTGGCCTAAAATATGTGTCCATTTTAATTATTCGTATATGGTTACATAATTAAGTGTGTGTACATGTGTAATAGTATGTGTGCCTGATGTATAAACCTATCAAGTCAATTAATATTTAAGTTTTTTTTATACATTGTGATAGTTCGCTATAAGAGTGACAAAATCTTTTTTAAAAAAAAGGAAGTAAATAAATAAATAAATAAATATATATATATATATATATATATATACATTACAGTATTTATTAATCAAGAATGACTAAGTTAATTAATTCATCTAAAGTGTGCATATATATATATATAATAATTTAGTGTCGATTTGATTGCTGTTCTATTTTAATTAGTAATTTTCTATCAACTCAAAATTAGAAAGTATGAAGTAAATTATACAATTATATATTCTTACATCCTAGTTTTTTTAAATAATTTCTTGAGGTATTTCGTCGTTACTATTAATCTATAAGAGTGTTTAACAATTAGTAACTAAAGTAAATCTTAAGCAAATTTAAATATTTGGAAATTATCAGCTTCCTTAATAATTCTCTTGATTTTAACTAAAATATTTATAATACATATAGATATATATTTTTTTACGAGTCATTTCATTATATTTCGACTAAAGTCGTTGCCGACTAATTTTAAAAAATTGTAATATTTTGCAGGAATGATTTTAAAGATATTAGGATCACCGAACAAAAAGAATTTTTTAAATATTTTTTATATTTATTGTAAAATAAGCATCTAAAGTATATGAAGTCGTAAAAACTGACACTTTTTCATCTATTAGAAAATATTAAAGAAAACACATAATTTACTATAAAAACGTAAAAAAATTGTTAGAATTTATTAAGAATGAATTATTTTATTATTATAAATTGGTAGAAACAATTATTAATAAGAAATATTAAATAAAAAGTAATTTTAAAGTTTACATGGAAAATAACCTATTTTTGCAAATTTCATTCACTAAATATGAGAAAGAGAAATCATTAAATTGGATAAAACCTTATGAAATATAAAGTACCTGTGATTAACTTTTAGTTTTTCTTATCACTTTCTTCCTGTTTTCTTCACAAATATTAAAAAATAAGCAATTAAAATTGGCACTTTGCTTATTTTCACGATTTTCAAATGTAAATAACTTTTGCCTAGAAAAATGAAAAATTACGAAAATTGGGCAATAATTAATTCATCACTAGATACACTTACTGGAAAAAGATTTTCTTTGGTCCCGAAGCTATTTCTCGAATTAATTAACTTTAAACTTTTTACTATTTTTATCAGGTTAATACATGTGATTTCTTTAAAACTGAAGTTGGTTCAAAACGATTAAACAAGAAGAGCTAACTTCGTCCTTTAAAAAACACATGTATTAACCTGATAAAAATAGTCAAAAGTTTAAAGTTAATTAATTCGAGAAATAGCTTCGGGACCAAAGAAAATCTTTTTCCAGTGAGTGTATCTAGTGATGAATTAATTACTGCCCAATTTTCGTAATTTTTCATTTTTCTAGGCAGAAGTTATTTACATTTGAAAATCGTGAAAATAAGCAAAGTGCCAATTTTAATTGCTTATTTTTTAATATTTGTGAAGAAAACAGGAAGGAAGTGATAAGAAAAACTAAAAGTTAATCACAGGTACTTTATATTTCATAAGGTTTTATCCAATTTAATGATTTCTCTTTCTCATATTTAGTGAATGAAATTTGCAAAAATAGGTTATTTTCCATGAAAACTTTAAAATTACTTTTTATTTAATATTTCTTATTAATAATTGTTTCTATCAATTTATAATAATAAAATAATTCATTCTTAATAAATTCTAATAATTTTTTTACGTTTTTATAGTAAATTATGTGTTTTCTTTAATATTTTGTAATAGATGAAAAAGTGTCAGTTTTTACGACTTCATATACTTTAGATGCTTATTTTACAATAAATATAAAAAATATTTAAAAAATTCTTTTTGTTCGGTGATCTTAATATCTTTAAAATCATTCCTGCAAAATATTACAATTTTTTAAAATTAGTCGGCAACGACTTTAGTCGAAATATAATGGAATGACTCTTACATATTTAAATTTTTTGTTTTAACTTTCATTATAATTCAAAAAGAACTCTAACTCTAATTGAGATAGAGATTTGTTCAGTATTTTTGATTTCAAATTGCAAACATTTATGGAAAATTCCATGACTAATCTTAATCTCGACACCAAAACACTAATTTCATTTTACCGGCAATTTTCGCGTTAAAATTCACAACCACACTCAAATTTTCTCTGTATTCGGGCGACGCTCACTAACACTCTCAAAAAAACAAAAAGGCAACTAACGCCATCTCAACGCTCATAACTTCTCATTGCATAATCAGAAAGTGATCAGAAAGGATCTTTCTCATTACTCGCGTTAAGTATAAAAATTATCATAGTTTCGTTTCGTTTAAAAAAAAATACATTAATCTCAATTAAAAGTGATTTCTCGAGTTTTTCACTAATTGAGAATTTTCATTCAAGAAAACCATTTTTTGTTCTGTGTGTTCGCATCGCGGCATGGTCACGCCATTATAGTGACAACCTTTTTCAATTTTGAATAAACTGAATTATTGTTTTTTAATAGTCTGCATTAAACTTTTATTTGTGAACCCAAAATCCTATCAATCGGTCAATTCTTAAACATTTGGTCCTTCGTGCCGGATAGTGTTCAGTAAAAACAAAATTTCAGTGCAAGATTCAACAAGTGTAAAAGGGAAAGGCAAGTGAACACCAGTGGTGGGGGCTCACAGTGCTCAGTGCGTGTAGGTATAAGTGCGTGAGGAATTCAAGACGCGCTCACAAAATTTCAGTGTCGGCCATCTTTTCTCGGATCTTCTCTCTCTCTCTCTCTCTCTCTCTCTCTTACGACTAACTCCGGAAATATCCGACGGACCACAAACGCTCTCACTGCATTTTCACATCCTTCGCTATGAGCACACATTCTGACAGCTCAACTAACGACAAGGAATCTCTCAACTCAAATTCGAAAAAATCTATCTCATTGGACAAGGAAGTAAAAGTTGTAATCACCAACATGGAAAAACTCTCGGTCAAGGACGAAAACTCATCTCCAAAAAAGGAAGATATCGATGATACTCAACCCTTAGATAAAACTCAACAAATCTCGAATAAAAATGAGAAACCAAGTACTTCTCATGGAAAACACTCGTCAAAAGAGAGTTATGCGCACGATCAAAATTCCAAAAACTCTTCAGAAGTTCAAGAAAATTTGCTCAAGGACCGAATGAATTTCAAAGTAACTACTCAAAATAGTCGTCTTAATCTCATGATTGAATCATTCAACCAGGTCAAATCATTCGCTCCTCAATACTCAGTCAATGAAGCAAAATCAATGCTCACCGTTTTCCATGATTTATGGACGGAATTTTCTCAAACTCATGAGGAAATTGGTGAAACTTGTCCAGATAGCTTCTTCAGTAATCCTTATATGACTGACGATTGTTATGAACAAGCCTGCAAAGTTTATGTGGAGTCTAAGATTCTACTCAACTCTCTTATTGAACGACTCAAACAACCTGCGGCAAACACGACTCAACCATCTGAATCCACTCAAACAAAAAGAAGACAGCTTCCGGAAATCTCGCTGCCTCAATTCTGTGGGGACTACTCATCATGGACTCCTTTCAGGGATTTGTTTTCCTCCTTGGTAGGTCAAAACTCGGAAATTTCCGGTGTAGAAAAGATGCATTATCTCTGCACAACACTCACCGGTAAAGCAGCTCAATTAATCGCCAATCTCCCTCTATCAAGTGATTCGTTTGACTCAGCATGGAGTTTACTCACCTCACGCTATGAAAACAAGCGATTACTTATCTCCTCGCAAATGGACAAACTTTTCAACTCATCAATTATCTCAGCAAAATCAGCCAGTGATCTCAACACTCTCCTCACCACCACCACTGAAGCACTCAACGCTCTCAAAGCTCTCAATGCTCCAGTTGATTCATGGGATCTAGTTTTAGTCCATTTTACTACTCGTAGGTTGGATTCTCAAACCAGGGAAGCTTGGGAAAACAAGCAAGGCTCACGTACTGAACCACCATCATACCAGCAACTCAAGGAATTTCTCACAGGTCGTGCTCGTGCCCTTGAAAATCTTCAACTCAATTCATCTCAATATTCTCAAGCGGCTAAAACAACACCATCATCACCTAAATTATCTCAATCAACAACTCAACCAGCAAAAGCCCTTACAGCTTCTCATCAAACTTATGTATACAATTGCTCATGCTGTGACGGATCTCACTACATAGTAGTATGTGAGAAATTCAGGGAACTCTCACCACCAGCTCGAAGGGAGCTTGTCATCACTCAAAAACTCTGCTTCAATTGTCTCGGCAAACACTCTGCTCACCAATGTCAAAGCTCAAAAAGATGTAGAGATTGCAATGGAAAACATCATACAATGATTCACATAAAGGATACTGCTCAATCATCATCAAAGGATCAATCAACATCTCAAAGCAATCAACAAAAGGACATCACAAAGTGACGTAATGTCTTAACTTCTCAAGGTAAGGTCTCTTTTACTACTAAACCTGTTGTGCTTCTTGCTACTTCTCAAGCTCTGCTACTTCTCAACTCGGGACTTTCTCAGCCAGTGAGGATTCTCTTAGATTCTGGATCAGAATTATCATTTATTTCTGAGAAACTTGTATCTCAACTTAATATTACTCGTCAATATTCAACTATCCCTATCATTGGAATTGGAGGAACATCATCAGGCAGTACTCGGGGAATAGTCTCACTTCCGTCTCAATCTATCCCTCAATTCAAAAATTTACAATTGGCTGATTCAAAATATTTTCACAGCTCAAAAATCGATATCATCATTGGAGCAGATCATTATGGGCAATTACTCCAACCAGGTCTCATTCAAGGTCAGGACTCATCATTAACAGCTCAAAAAACAATCTTCGGCTGGGTCATTCTTGGTCCTGTTAATGATTCCTCAACAGAATCTGGTCACTCATTTCACATCACAATCAATCATCAACTCACGGACTTACAAGATATTCTCACCAAATTTTAGGAGCAAGAAGAAATTCCACTCAAGGTCACGGACTCACTCACACTTGAAGAATTAGAATGTGAAAATCATTTCAAGGAAACTCACTCTCGTGATGTATCTGGCAGGTACATCGTTCGATTACCTCTCAATTCATCACCTAGTCAACTTGGCGACTCATACACAACTGCTCAACGATGTTTAAAATCATTGCTCAACCGAATCTCAAAGAATCAAACCTACAGCGATCTTTATCACACATTCTTAAAGGAATATGAAGATCTCAATCACATGACTCGTGCTCCATCATCATCATCATCACCTGTCTATTATCTTCCTCATCACGGTGTACTAAGGGAACAAAGTACTTCAACAAGATTAAGAGTTGTCTTCAATGGATCATGCTCAACCAACTCAGGAACCTCTCTCAACGACATCTTACATAAAGGAGCAAAACTACAAAGGGACATCTCTGACGTACTAATCTGGACTAGGAAGTTCAGATACATCTTCTCCACAGACATCACAAAAATGTTTCGACAAGTTAAAGTTCATCCTCTCGATTGGGACTTGCAACGCATTTTGTAGATTGATCAACATCAAAATGAGGTACCATATCAACTCACCACAGTCAGTTATGGAACGAAATCAGCACCTTTTCTCTCCGTTCGGGTTATTCTTCAACTTATTGAAGATGAAGGTCATGACTTCCCTCTGGCGGTACCAGTACTCAAAAACGGAAGATATGTAGATGATATTTATGGTGGATCAGATCATCTCGATGAACTCATTCTTATCGCTCAACAACTTGAAGGTCTACTCAATAAAGGCGGATTTCCTCTGGCTAAATGGCAAAGTAATCATCCTCAATTAATCAACACTATTTCACCTGGAAATGACTCACTACAAGATCACTCATTCGAAAATAGCATCACAAAAATACTGGGTCTCTCATGGTGTAATCTAGATGACTGCTTTAAATTCACCTTTTAATTACCAACTCAATCAATTGAACGAATTTCAAAAAGAACGATGCTTTCCGAAGTGGCTCAATTATTTGATCCATTAGGATTTCTCTCACCTTTCACCATTCGAGCTAAGATGTTATTACAGGAACTCTGGCTTGAAAAACTTGCATGGGATGACTCACCCTCAGACTCAATCAACAAGAAATGGCTCAAATTCAAAAAGGAATTTTCTCAACTCTCAACAATTTCAATACCACGGTGGCTCAACATCACTACATCTTCAACAGTGGAACTTCATGGTTTCTCGGATGCTTCTCAACTCGCAATGTCAGCAGTCATCTTCATTAAATCAACAAATTCACAACTCGAACCAAAAATCAGTCTCATCTGTGCAAAAACAAAGGTTGCACCACTCAAGCGGATCACCATTCCAAGAATGGAACTCACGGCAGCGCAATTACTCACTCGTCTCATGATTTATGTTCAAAATACTCTGGAATTATCGAATTCACCAGTTTTCATGTGGACTGATTCACAGGTGACTTTAAATTGGATCCAAAGTCACCCATCACAATGGAAGGATTATGTTCGAAACAGGGTTTCATTCATTCAAGATCAACTTCCTCATGCTCAATGGCGGTTTATCAAAGGAAAGGAAAATCCAGCAGATTGCGCATCAAGGGGAATGACTATCTCACAACTCAAAGGCCATACTCTCTGGTGGAATGGACCCTCATGGTTAAAGGACTCATCAAATCAATGGCCTTCCCCGCAAATTAAAATAGACAACTCAACTCAACTGGAAGAGCGGCCAGGACTCTCACTCAGGGTATCAACAGATCCTCATTCTCAGCTCTGGGATATTATTGAAAGATACTCATCACTTAAACATCTGTTGAGAATCACATCAATTTGCTTCAGGACCATCAACACTCTCAAATAAATTCCACAATCATCTCTGGCAAATCCACTCACTCCTGGTGATCTCAACAAATCACTTCTCTATTGGGTTCGAGTTACTCAAGCGGCATATTTTTCAATGGAACTAGACAATATGCTCATGGATCGGACTCTTCCATCTGCTCATCCTCTTACTCGTCTAACTGCATTCATCGACAATGAAGGAATTCTTAGAGTCGGAGGTCGACTTAAACATTCAAACTTGGATGTAGACTACAAGAACTCAATGATTCTACCCAGGGAATCAAAACTTACATCACTCATCATCCAAGAAGCTCACTCAAGAACTCTACACGGTGGTACTCAACTCACTTTATCTCATATTAGGAAACGGTTTTGGATCATTGGAGGACGGCAATCAGTCAAATCCTACATTCTCAAATGTGTCAAATGTGCACGTGAACGGGGATTACGTGCTCAACAACTCATGGGACAACTACCTCTTTCAAGAATCAAGCCATCAAGGCCATTTCTCAACACTGGTGTTGACTATGCTGGACCTATATCAATCAAAGCTTGGAAAGGTAGAGGTGCAAAATCAGAAAAGGGTTGGATTTGTATTTTCGTTTGTTATTCAACTTCAGCTATTCATCTAGAATTAGTTACTGACTACTCAACACACGGATTCATCTCAGCATTTAGACGATTCACAGGACAGCGAGGTATCTGCCACACTCTTTACAGTGATTGTGGAAAAAACTTCGAAGGGGCAGATAACGAACTCAAACGACTCTTTAAGGCTGGAACTCAACCATGCAACGAATTATCTCATCTTTTGACAAATGACGGCACTACCTGGAAATTTAATCCACCGGCAGCATCTCACATGGGCGGAAAATGGGAAGCTGGCGTCAAATCAGTCAAATATCACCTTCGGCGGACAATCGGCGAGACGAAATTAAGCTATGAAGAATTTACGACTCTTCTAGTTCAAATCGAAGCGGTGCTCAATTCTCGCCCTCTGGAACAGCTCTCAGATGATCCTGAAGATTTCTCAACCCTCACACCAGGCCACTTTCTCATTGGTGACTCACTCACAATAATCCCAGAACCATCACTCACTCAGCTCAATATCTCACCAGCATCAAGATGGAAACTTATTCAACAGCGTTTTCAATTTTTTTGGTCTAAGTGGTCTTCATGTTATTTACAACGTCAACAATCAATCTCAAAATGGCATCACCCATCAAACAAAATAAAAGTCGGCTCAATGGTACTGCTCACTGATGAGAGGTTCCCTCCCGCTAAGTGGCCTCTTGCTCGCATACTGGAACTACATCCTGGAACTGACGGTCTCACGAGAGCTGTTACAATTAAAACAGCTACATCAACTTTCAAGCGGCCAATTCATAAATTGGCAATTCTTCCTATCTCCGTGGACAACAATTCAACATCGGACGAGGATTCATCTTAAATCGACAACACTGTTGCCGATGGCGGGGAGAATGTTCAGTATTTTTTATTTCAAATTGCAAACATTTATGGAAAATTCCATGACTAATCTTAATCTCGACACCAAAACACTAATTTCATTTTACCGGCAATTTTCGCGCTAAAATTCACAACCACACTCAAATTTTCTCTGTATTCTGGTGACGCTCACTAACACTCTCAAAAAAACAAAAAGGCAACTAACGCCATCTCAACGCTCACAACTTCTCATTGTATAATCAGAAAGTGATCAGAAAGGATCTTTCTCATTACTCGCGTTAAGTATAAAAATTATCATAGTTTCGTTTCGTTTCAAAAAAATACATTAATCTCAATTAAAAGTGATTTCTCGAGTTTTTCACTAATTGAGAATTTTCATTCAAGAAAACCATTTTTTGTTCTGTGTGTTCGCATCGCGGCATGGTCACGCCATTATAGTGACAACCTTTTTCAATTTTGAATAAACAGAATTATTGTTTTTTAATAGTCTGCATTAAACTTTTATTTGTGAACCCAAAATCCTATCAATCGGTCAATTCTCAAACAAGATTATTTAAAAATTATTGCAAAACTTATTTTATAGATATAACTTGATTCTTACGTCATTTTACTTGATATTAATTTCCTAGATTGTAAGTATTTTATTATTCGTAACGAAATTTACGTTATTAAGGTAAAAGTCTTTGAATTGGAATTTTGGAATAAGGACTTGTGGGCGAAATCTTGATGCACGAAATTGGATCTTCCGGGAAGTTGTTTGAAGAACCTGCGTCAGAAGTAGAGTTTTCAGGAACAATATCTTCAGGTGGACTGCCAATTTTTGTTAGTTTATTGTCACCAGTATCGGTATTGCTTGTTCTAGATGCTGGAACAGGACCCTCGATTCGAGTTATGCCAATGTTTTCATGACTGGCATCAGCAAAACTTAACCTCCGTCGAGAGAACAGGGATATCGACTTCTTTATCTTCGTTGTAGTTGAGATGGGGGTGTTAGGATGTTTCTGAATAATTATTTTCCTAGTTTTCCAAGATATACAAATTTTAAATACCATCCACCCGATAATGGTAATTAGGACAATAGTTCCTGTTAACGATAGTCAATTGCTCGTCAGTGGACCCAGGGAGGCAAATAATATAGTAGATTTGGTAAAAAGAATTTATTGTTCACTTTAGATTTACAAATTTATATTTTATTTGTTTAACCTAAGAATATTATTGAATGCGATAAACTGGCAGTAGGGATATTCAGATGCCACGCGGCTTAATCCCTCGTTAGGATATTCCAATGTCCGTTCGGACTTCATCCTTCACCTTTGGAGCTGTGCACGTTACTAAAGGCAAACTGCCAAAGATACAACGTCGAGGAGTTACCCTCACTCTCCATTTCTCTTTTCAATGGAATCTGTAAACAGAAAATTCACACAAAAATGGCCAGCGACCCTTTTCGGCGCCAAGACGTCATAAACCCATCGTTCAGGTCAAAATGAACCAGCGGGAATAATGAACAATATAAACAAATTACATATAACACAAAACGAACAATTTTAAACGAAAACTCACAAAACTTTTAATCATTAACATTCTCCCCCCCAGTACGGAAAGACACATTTTCCGTACTTTTAGCAGGGACTATCAGAATGAGGTTGGTGGTTGACCTCTTAATCCATTTACCTGTTGATTCAACTTCCGCCGAGTGTATTCTCCCGTCTTTTCCCGGAATAATCTTTCTTATTATTCCTCTGGGCCATGAATTCCTGGGCGAAGCTGCATCAACGATTAATACTAAGTCACCTACTTCTAATGCTCGAACCTCTTGTGACCAGCATTTCCTTGCAACGAGATTGGGCAAATACTTCCTTATCCAACGGGCCCAGAACATATCGGCCAAGCGTTGGGAGATTCGCCACGTTTTTCGGGAATATAAATCGTGATCAGAAAACCTTCCAGGTACCGTTACTCCTGATGAGGAACCGAGGAGGAAATGGTTCGGTGTTAGGCTCTCATGGTCTTGGTGGTCCATTGATAGGTGTGTGAGAGGTCGACTATTAATTGTATGTTCTACCTCCGTCAGCAACGTGCTTAGCACCTCCTCCTTCGGAGCCCTCGAATTAAGTATAGCGTTTAGCGCTATCTTTACACTTTTAACCATCCTCTCCCATGCACCTCCCATATGCGGCGTTCCAGGAGGTATGAAGCGCCATTTTATTCCCCGATTTGCCATCTCATATTCGAACAATTCATAATCGATCTCTTTAACCGACCTTTGCAGTTCCGAATTAGCACCGACCATATTCGTACCGTTGTCTGAAAATATTTCACTTGGATTTCCGCGCCTAGCCATCATACGTCTTAATGCCATTATGGCGGAGTCCGTGGGCAACGACGAAGCCATCTCTACGTGAATGGCTCTAGTTGTGAGGCATGTGACGAGTACTCCTCATCGTTTTTCGTGTCGCCTACCCACAGTAACCGTCATTGGTCCAAAGTAATCTATACCGCAAAAACTAAATGGTCTGTGATGATGCCTTAACCTTTCTACGGGTAAGTCACCCATTCTAGGTATCAGGGGTTTCGATTTTCGGACACGGCACCATTGACATCGGGATACTACTGATCTAATAGTTGCACGCAACCCTAAAATCCAATATTTTTGTCTTAGTTCATTTACTACGATCTCAGGATTCGCGTGACCGAACTTCTCGTGATGACTTTGTATCAACAACCTGGAGTAGCGGTGCTTTCCGTCCAATATGATTGGTGACTTCGTGTTCTCGGGAATTCCTTCAGCTGAATTTATTCTTCCATCCACTCTAAGGATTCCTTCCTTTTCGTCCATCAAGGGGGTAAGATTAACGAGCCGACTATCTCTTGATAATGGTATCCTGTTTTTTGTTTGATGCAACTCTTTAGCGAAACAACCTTGTTGAACTTCTTCTATCCACAATAGTTCAGCTTTCTCTAAGTGTTCTGGGTCGAGATGAAGATTTCGCTCGCCTTTCCAAATGCGGGGCGAAAGGAGTACCCACGCGGTGCAACGTATTAGACATAACCACTTTGAGATGTGATTAATATTGGGTAGTATGCGATCATCGTTACATTTTAGAACAGCAGAAAATTCTTGTTTAAGTTCTACTCTACGTGATTCATCGGGTTTCATATCTTGCTGTTTTGGCCAATACTTTTCGTCCCTTTGCAGATATGAAGGACCATTAATCCATCTTTTCATGTGACTTTCTATTTTCCCTATACCTTTAGTCGAACTATCTGCTGGGTTTTCTCTAGAAGGCACTCATCGCCATTCGTTTGGATTTGTAATTTCGTCAATTTCACCAAGACGGTGGGCTACAAACATTTCGTATTTCAGGGGATCTGTTTTAATCCAAGCGAGGACAGTGCGGGAGTCAGTCCAAAAGGTACGTCTTCTTATGTTCAATCTTATTTCCTCAGTAATTGTTTTCGCCAACCGACTGGCAATGAGGGCTCCTTGTAATTCCATCCTTGGGATTGACATTTGTTTTTGCGGCCCTACTCTGGCCTTTCCGACTATAAATGACACATGGTGTTCACCGCCTACATCAGTCGAGCGTAAGTAGGCCACGGCTGAATATGCATACAACACACGTGGAGCTCTAGGTTTCCCGGATTTTTCATTTTATCAAAGTAGTGTCTTGGGATTCGGTAGTCTTCCATCTTCGTCAAATCTGCAATCCATTCCTGCCACTGAACGTATTCATTCTTGAGCAATTCATCGTCCCATCCTATTTTGCTACGCCAAACATTCTGAAGCAATAACTTTCCTTTAATAGTAAAGGGTAATAATATACCTAGGGGATCGTAGATTGACATTATAACTGCTAACATATGCCGTTTGGTTATTCGACTCGTTTTTTCGGCAGTGATCATCGGCAACTTATCCGTGTTTAAATTAAATGAAATCTTGTCAGTATTTAAATTCCACTTCACCCCGAGGGCCCTCTCTACATGATCCTTTGTCAAATCGACTGTAGCACAAACATTTTTCTCGATTGCCAGTGCCATTATTAGTTTTTTGCTATTACTGACCCACCCTCTAATTTCAAAACCCCCCTGTTCTTGTATCTCAACTACTTCCCCTATCTTCTGTACTGCTTCTTCTACCGTGTCCTCACTGTCCAAATAATCGTCAACGTAATGATCGTTTTGGATCGCGTGTACAGCCGACGGATATTTGTTTTCATACTCCTGAGCATTTCTATTCATAATATACTGCGCAGTGCAAGGGGAAGAGATAGACCCAAATATAAGGGAAGTCATAACGTATGTCTCAGGTTCGTTTGTCCGATCCATGCCGCGCCACAGGAACCGTTGGGCATCTTGATCGTCCTTACGCATTTTTATTTGGAGAAACATTTCACGAATATTACCCATAAAGGCGATTTTTTTTCTTCTGAATCTCATGAGCACACCTATTAATGAAGGAACTAGTGCCGGACCTGATAGTAAACTGCCGTTCAATGAAGTTTCTGCAAATCTAACCGCTGCATCAAATACTAGCCGGATCTTTTTAGGTTTGTTGGGATTAACGGAGCCGAAATGTGGTAGATACCAGATACGTTTATTCTCGCTTTCTTCGTTTTCGAGTTTCCGCGCATATCCTGCATTTAAAAGATGTTCCATTTGTTCACAGTATCGTTTTCCGTATTCGGGATCCCGATCGAGCCTACGTTCTATCGACATTAACCTAATCAGAGCGATCGTTCTATTATTGGGCATTCAAAGATTTTCGTCCTTCCATAATAACCCTGCTTCCCAACCTTTATTTATCATTTTAGTCGTTTTTAATAATATTTCCTCTGCTTTGATATCTAACTTATTTCTGCGAGTAACACCGCTAATTCCTATAGACTCTAGACTAAAATGTGATTTTACTAATTTATGCAGTTTATTATCTGCTTGTACTTCCGACTCTTTTCTAAACCCGAGTTCTTTAATCGTATAACATGT